CATAAAAATAAATAAAATAAAGGTATTGTGTCCATCTACAACTAAAAATATTTTTTTTAAGTACCAATAGGGAAAAAGTTTTGGAAAAAACTTTTTGCCAAAGAGTAGTACAGTAAAATACTAATTTGTGCCTAAAGTAGCCTGGGCTGACTATGTAATAGCAACAAGTCCTAAGATGCATAGCACATTTCATAAAATTTCCAACATATTATGGCATTTGCTAAGATATGACTTAAATTTCCATAAGAAACAACTATATTTCTAAAATTCTTAAAGTGTTAATCCTGACATCCTGTTCTCATTCATAAAACAATATACTTAAAAGAAAAAGTGATGTTCCTTAAAATAATTACTAATAAATGTCTCAATTTGTTGCAGTAACCAATACCATTTAGCAACTACCTCTAAGAATTATTTGAGAGAGAATATAATAAGTCACCCCCTACTTGTTGAACATGTTCCTGCCATGTGCCAGAATTGTGTTGGATAAAATAATTGTATTCACTCTTACAATAACTAGATAACTAGTATAAAGGATGTAAGTGTACAATCTGTTTCTGAAGATATTTATATGATCCTAATTGAGAATTTACATAAAAATAAATTGATCATCTGTATTCAATTAATGTCTTGATAATTTGATATGGTTAATAAATTCTACTCAGGAAAGCTAACAGTAAAGAACAGCAGACACAAAGAATAAAATACCCTAGACATTTAGATCCTTCTAAGCAAGTCACAATTTACCTCACTCAATTAACCCACACATGAAAAAAATGTAAATAAGCTTTACAACTACTTTCATAAAAGAAAATGTTGGGGCTGGGGTGGTAGTTCAGTGGTAGAGCACTTGCCTAGCATGTGTAAAGCACTGGGTTTGATTCTTAGCACCACATAAAAATAAAAGTCCATCAACAACTAAAAATATATTTTCAAAAGGGAAATGTTTACACGATAGTACTTGCCTATGTGCCTGAGTGACAAGTTTATCAATCATTTATTCTCTGTGTAGCACACATAAAATATGAATAAGCTATAAAATTGTTTAATGATTATTTGCATAAAATGTAATGATTGTTTGCATAAAAGATCAGAAAGCATCAAAAAAATTATCCACATACAGCCCTGCAAATTTTTGTCATATGAAATATTATCTTATATCTATTTTTTAAGTAAACTGGTAAAGAATTCTCTAAAATTCCAATTTCCCATTTCAAAGTAGATGACAGCCAATTCAATAAATAATGAACTCATACAGTCATCAAATTAGTATACAACACTGAAGTTATTTTTACTTCTATAAATTTACTGTAACTATTCTAGAATTATACTACTAACTTCAAAACTACCACTTTATAAACAAACATACAAACTATAATCAACAGTTTAGAAAACATAGGAGATAAAAACATTGTCTTTCAAATCATACTGCCTATAACTGGAAAATATTATTATTAAATTTAAAAAGTTATCTATGATCTTAAGGTGCTTTTATCCCCATTCACCAGTACTCTTCAGCTTAATCCCCTCTTCCTCCCTCCTTTTCTACTTATTTCTTCCTTCAAGCCATAGGTACCAAAAGCAAGGAATGCTATCAAATAAAAACAACATGTCTGACTTTGAATTGTCAGTTTTGTTACTGTCATGATACTGTTATGAACAAAACATTAATTGTACCAATATAAAAGTAAAATGAACCATAACTAGGAATAAATGAAATCAATGGAAATGAGGCATTCGTTAAAATCTTGGCTGACTCCTTTTTTTTATTTATTTATTGGGGGGGGGGGGAGTTGTAGATGGACAGCATGCTTTTATTTTATTTATTTATAGTTTTATGTGGTGCTAAGGATTGAACCTAGAACCTTGCACATGCTAGGCAAGTGCTTTGCTACTGAGCTACAGCCCCAGCCCCAGCTGACTCCATTTTTAAAAGTAACCAATTATCAGCATAAACTCAAGAGTATCTAGGTAGTACTTGCATAAATATAAATAACAAACACAAATATTTAGTACACAATACACAGTATTTAACTATACTATTCTCCTGCTGCAATTACTTTAAAGATTTAAAGACCTAATATTTTTCAAATTATTAAAATCAAACTAAAAATGATATATAAGGCAAATCTAAATTATCAAATTTAACCCAAACAATAATCCCTTGCAGATTCCATCAGATATCAATATTAATAATAATAATAATGTTCTAAAAAATCAAATTGAGACAAATTCACAATCTGGAAATTTCCTTAGTCTAAATTGTTTTCTATATAATGTTAGGTAATGCAAATAACATAGATGATTTCCCAAAAATGTAATCAATTTATACATGAAGTATGGCTCATTTATTTTAATTCTTGGATGAAAAATAATGTCATTCTTAACCTAAATTCCCCAATAACTTAAGGATAGTAAATACTACCACGATACATCCCCACAGCTCTTCCATTCTTTTTTATTCTTTCTTTCTTATTCTTCACTCAATATTCTGTGGTTTATATCCACCATTTTCAAGACCTCATACTCCAACTGGAGATATAACTCTGTGGTAGAGCATTTGCCTAGCATGTTAAGGCCATAGGTTGTACTCCCAGCCTCGCCAAAAAAAAAAAAAAAAAAAAAAACTGTTGAGACTTATCAGACACTGCCTAACCCTATACAAAATAATTCCTTAAAAAGTCTATTCTCAGGCTGGGGTTGTAGCATAGTGATAGAGCGCTTGCCTGGCACATGTGAGGCACTGGGTTTAATCTTCAGCATCACATAAAAATAAATTAATAAAGGTTATTTTACATTTTTTTTAATTCTATTCCCTTGATCTCTAAGTACTGAAAAACAATGATAGTTTAAGAAACTGTACAGTTTGTTATAAGACTTCTAAAAAGAAAAGCTGTGAAGGATACAACTAAAATAACTATCAATTGTGATAAGTCCTGGTTAGAATTACTTTAGGGATCTTAATAAAAATATAAGGTATTTGGCTAAATATTTGTTTTTTGTTTTTTCACTTTTTTGGCTTAAGTAACTATATAAGCAACAGTGCTTTCTATGCATACAGAAGAAACAACATCCAAGAAAATATACTTAATGGAAAGACATAAGTTAACAATACAGCAAAATATCTCAAAGCACAAAGCTTTGAGATATAAATCAGAAGTAGAAGGAGAACATTTCTCTTTTATCATAAATTATATAAAATTATATTTTCCACTGCTACACATAAAGACTTTTCCCACTATTTTGCAAATGAGAAAGGATGTTAAATGACAATCACAATCACAGACTAGAGTGTCACTATAAAATCATAATTTCAAAACTCAAACTATAAAAATACCAAAACCTTCATGGAGGGGGAGAGGTGGAGATACTGGCACACACCTATAATCCCAGCCATCAGTCTGCTGAGGCAGGAGGATAGCAAGTTCAAGGCCAGTCTTGGCAATTTAATGAGACAGCATCTCAAAACTAAAAATTTTTTTTAAAAATGGGCAGGGTGATGTTCCTCAGGGATAAAAGCACCCCTAGGCTCTATTTCCAGTATCACAAAAAATAAACCAATAAATAAAAGTACCAAGACCTTAGTGTTCGAAAATCAAACACTATAGAACTCCTAAAATTCAGGAAACATGAGAAACCACACATGCTTTATAAAATATTTTACTCTATACATTAAACACACACACACACACACACACCCCAAAACCAGCACTCTTGAGAGAGCAGTTTCTTGAAAGATTAGTTTAGATTTCTTACATTTCCAGTATGACTATGGTGGCCTATTTTTTTTTTTAAATCATCCCATTCACATATTTTTTAAAACCTCATGACATCATGTTGCTATAAATCTTTTAATACTCGCAAATTTGATAATTACAATTATTATATGTTAGGCATTCTTGAATCAGTGGTTGACCTAAGAAACTAATTTTGAATAAATTTCAAATTAAAAAAAGAAAAGAAAAGAAACAATCAGCCCTTGACTTTTACTTCAGGAAAATAAAGTATCACTTGGGAACAAGGATATTTTGGCATAAAAACTTTTCAATAAAAAAAAAAAAAAAAAAAAAAAAACATCTTTGCAACCAACTAATATTACTAGTACTCCAGAGGTACAAAATGCTAGTTGGCCAAAAATCTTTCCAAAGCCAATGCATACCACTATATATGGACTGGGCAATGATCACCGCAGTCGGGTCAGACTGCACCCATATATAACATGAGAGGCTGAAGAATTTCAGCCAAGCCTTGAAGCTTGAAGGTCACATGGAGGGATAGCTCACAGAGCATCAATGATCAATTCCACTACAAGAAGTCTTCCAAATCACATCTATATTTAGAAGACTGGAACCAAAAGACTAACAGTTTAGACTGAAACTCAGAGTAAAGTCTTCAGGTGGTAGCTTTCCCCATTCTCCATCAACAAATTTTTTTAAGTATTTGTCAAGTCATCTTTTTGAATGTAACAATTTTTTTTAAAGCCCATGTTTAGCTTGTGCTTTGCTTGCACTATATGGAGATGAAATGAAACACACTGCTCAGCACCTTCACGGTTCTGTTGTCCTAGGATAAACAGATATTTCAATATCTCCTCCCATTTCAAGAGTGATTTCCAAAGTCTGGGAAGGAATGTTTCCACCCACAAATACCTTTCAATTGAATGGCTGTCATACTGCCATGGATAAGGCAACACTGAACAATAATCCATTTTTGCCCATCCCAAATTTATTTTAAATCTCTTACTGCTGACCTAAAAACCTAAGTTCTTCATCACAATTTCCATAATAGGTAGGCCTTACATCAAGGCAACAATTGAGTAGAGTGGTCTTACTCTTGAAATAATATTTACCAAAAACCAGGGGAAAAAATCTTGAAAAACTAGTGTTTGATCTTTAATTATAAATATATATAATTTTTTCGTTACAGAGAGTTTACTCATAACTCTCCATAACAATTAAATCATAAAGCACAGCTAAAGATTGTTTTTTTTTTTAACTTACCCCATTCTAGGTATTCAAGAATGTTCTTCTCTCTTCTCAATGGAGAATTATTGCATTCATCATAAAGGCAGATGAGTATATCCAGTAAGGTCTCCACGCTGAAGCACTGCCCATTGGTCTGAGCCGGCCCATCCAAAATAAATTGCTCCAATTGCCTCAAACGCACTTCTCCGGACATGTTTGCTTCGATTTCTGTTGATTTGCTTCTAAATTGTTATTACAAGTTTGACTATTTACTATTTGAACCTAAATTTTAAAAGGTGTGGTTTTAGAAATAAACCACTTGTTATTCCAATAACTGTCATGCAATGCCGGTGCTGAATTAAACATCCAATACACCAGTAACCTCACTTAACTGAAACGTCTTCAATTACACCCATATACATATATTTGGAGGGTAAGTTATCATAAAATATATTTAATACATTTTAAATGAATAATACAATTAAATCGTATATTTAAATAAAATAATAATTAAACGAACTTGAGTCAACACTTCTTTAAAAAAAAAAAAAAACTCTTCTCCTTCATTCAAAATTCAATTCGTGCAACGTAATCCTGAAACGAATCCGGTTGCATCATTAATGAATAAAGTCCCCCTTTGCATCAGCAATTTACTCCCCGGGAAGAAAGGAAATAGAAAAGGGAGGAAAAAAACAGAATGTATAGAAGGGGGAGGGAAAACCAAAAATTCTGCTGCAAATCCTCCCAACCGCCACTTGGATAATGCATCAGCGGCAATTTCTCCAGCGGGAAAGGGAGGGGGCGAGGTCCCTGAAGCAGCTCTCCTCAGCGCCGAGCACGCCAAGTCTTGCCCGGAGGAGGCTTTTCCTTTCTCCTCCCGAGGTCCTTCTTTTTAAGGCTTTGCAGTTAGTCCTATTTCCAACTGATTCCGGCGAAAACTCTTCATTTTTTTCTCCGGGCTTCTCCCAGGGGCCTGACCGGCGGCACGGCCGGGATTAGGAAGGCGGGCTGCGGGCGGCTCTCCCACCCGGGCTCCGGGAGCAGCGGCTACTTGGCCGCCGGAGCCCGCTCCATGTCGGTGGTCGCTCGTGGGCCGGGCCGCGCCTGGCGGAGAGCCCGGTGTCCCCCGCACCCGGACCGCGGCCGCCGCGCCGGAACCTCCCGATGCCCCTGGGCGAGGGGGGTGCTCTTCTGGATTCAAAGGACACGGACAGCAGCAGCTGCGGCGTCGCGGGCGGCTCCAGCGGCTACTTCTCCCCCTTCTTCACACCCCTGGGTTAAGGGCATCTTTCCTTGGAGAGGAGGGAGGAGGCTGAGGCGCAGGAGGAGGGGTCCGTGCTGCTGGCGTGGAGACCAGAGGCTGCCGCAGCCCGGCTCCCAACCACTCCCTTCCTTTCCCTCCCAGCCTCCCCCGCCTTCCCGCTCCTCTCGCGCTCGCGCCCGGGGCTCCGCGAGGCCGCTCCAGTCGGCACCGCACGCAGCGGAGGCTCGCGGACGAGTCCGGATCCAATATGGCGGTCCCTGCCCGCGCCCCCGCGACACACGCGCGCACTCGCCCTCTCCCCGCCCCCGCCGGAGCCCCGCACGCAGCCGGGCGTTGTCCTGCGGCCCAGCCGAGTCGAGGCCCCGGAGGGGGCGCCGGCCACTGCACAAGCCTGAGGCGGGTGCTGAGGGCCGACTTGGCCCGCGAAGCTACGGCTGCCGCAGTGTGGAATGCAGGGAAACGGGAGGACTAGGGGAGGCCCAGGTGGCGGTGGCGGAGGAGGCTATGGAGACAGCATGACCGAGCCGAGCTGTGGAGCTGCGGCAGGACGCCGGCTGGGAACTGCGCCACCGCTGCCACGCCACTGGCCCCGGATCCCCGAGGCTTCTCCTACATATCGCAAATCCCAGCTACTTCCTCGTCCTGGGAGACGCCACCTGTCTCGCACATTTGCTCAGAAGATCTAGAAGCAGACGCCTTTCTGCTTCCAACAGCTCTGGAAAAGACCGTGCCTCTGACCACTCCTTACCTGTCCGTCCCTACTCCCGTCCCCCAAATTCGGTTTTTCCACAGTCGAGTCATAATTTATTGGGTGTCTGATTAAAGAATTTATGTCACTTCTCAGGACAAAAACATAACACTTATATGCGCTACCATCCAAGTGGTATTTTTGTGCGCGCCCGGCGCGCAAAGGAGAGAATTTCCCATCTCTATTTTCAAAAGTTTCCCAACGTGGAGCCTGGTGTTTTCTCCTCCGGAAATATTCTAGATGTTGCCTGTTTATCCTCAGCCAAGGTTACCGCCTACAGGGCTTTTAGCTAATGAAAGGAGTCAGGACAGTTCATCTCTGTTATCAAACCTATACCCCATTTGCACACACACAGATAAGCACACAAGCACACTTATGATCCAGTGGCACCACGCAGCAACTGGGCAGCAAAGGCAGTCACTGAAGAGCTAAATCACCTGATGCCTGTAGGGCCTTTCCAGGTTTTTGTGATCTTGGTTTGAAGAGAGCTCTCTACAAAATTCTCATGGAAGATCCCACATTTAAATTAATACCCCTAAACTAGGTCATTACATTTCCATTTTTCCTCTCAAATTTTCCATCTCTATGATCTTTCTCCTAAACACAATTATATTCTATTCCTTTTCACCCCCATTATCCATGTCAATGCCCACCATGCATCTTTTTTACCTTGATATTATGGAAGCCCAAAAAGAAGGAGAAATGAAGATCTAAACAAGAGTCCTAAAAATAAAGGCTAATAGAATTATGCAGTTTGCTGTGATTCACACAATATTGTGAATGTTTTGTGAAATCTACACTTGCCTGACTTAAATAAGGACAGCATTATTTTCAATGTGCTCTTGGCACATGAATATATTTAAATGTTCAGACTAGAAGTCAATCATTTCCAACCATGACATATTTATGTGTGTTGTTTAATTATAAAAGTAGAAAAGCAAAAAAGAAAAATTTAATTATAAACTAGATAATAATCAACATTTTGGTGTTTATAATTTGTTTTCCTAAAAAATGTTTCATAGTAAAGGACAGTTTTACCGCTTCTAGTTCAGTTACCAATGCATTATAAATGTCTTTGTAGGTAAACAAATATTCTTCAACAACATGATTTTTAATTGTGAAGCCATCACATTTTGACAATTTCAACTGACCATGAGATGCGGTAGTAAAAAAGTAATCAATTCCTTCTTCTGCATTTTCAAATACAATACACTAGTGAGCTGATTCCAAGATACTTATCCAACTTACAAATAACTATCAAGAAATTTAAAAAAGAACCAAAAACATTTTATGTCTCAATAAATACTCATTAACAAGGGAGGTATGAGATGTAGATACTTAGATACTTTCTCTATCTGTCTTTCTCTCTCATTCTGGGGGGGGGGGGGGGGTGCTGGCGCCACTAGGGAGGGACAGAACCCAGGGCCTCAGGCATGCCAGGCAAGCACTCTATCACATAGCCACATCCCCAGACCCAGATAAGCTTTTTTTTTTTACAAAAGAGTCGAGCTGCCAGATCTCTCTATTCTATTAGCACTTGGGTACCACACACAGTTCAGGGTATTGAAGTTTATTAAATAACCCTTTCCACATTATTTAGAGAACAAAGGGAAGAATTTATTTTTATTTTTTAAAAAAGCACAAAGAGAAGGAAGAGGTTGAACCCAATCAATTTTGCTTGAATAATTCAAGCTCAGAGACTTAATAATTAACTAGACACTAAACACATTGTGCTGGTGTTATTTTAAATGTTCCGGTTGAAGTGTGAACATGCTTGTTAATGAAACCGGTCTTAAGCCAAAGAAAGGCACAGCCCCAGTGGCCATACAGTGCTTGAAGTTACTCCCACAAAACACAGGAGTGTCACAGGCTGCCTGGCAGGGCATTCTTTGGGCAAAGAACCTGGAGGAGGTCTTCTTTGTGAAATTCTGCTTGGGGACCTACAGATTAAGTGTATACCACTGCAAACATCCAATTTGTTTGAAATAATCAGATAAAGTTTTATGAAGATGAGGGAATTAATCTGACCTTTCGGAAACGAGATATAACAGAAAAAAAAGTATAATGGAATAATAAGGCAGGACAGAAGTCAGTAAGCCTAGTCCCCAGTGCAGCCTTTCTTCAAGTAATCCTCCAATTCAAAGCTAAAACTAGGAAAATCTGTTCACCTGTAGTATGTGTAACAACCGGCTCCATTCTCACCTTGATATACCTTACTCCAAAATAAATATAGGTTCAACAATGGAGAGCAGGGCCAAAGCACAATGTTAAGATATAACTGGGCCTCCATATCTGAGAGTTCCACATTTACAGATCCAACCAATCACAGGTTGAAAATATTCAGAAATAAATTGATCTGTACTGAACATGAACTTTGGGGGTGGGGGAGGGTAGTATAGGGGATTGAACCCAGGGGCACCTAACCACTGATCCACATATCCATCCCTTTTTTAGATTTTATTTAGAGAAAGGATCTCACTAAGTTGCTTTAGGGCCTTGCTAAATTGCTGAGGTTGGCTTTGAACTCATGATCCTCCTGCCTCAGCCTCCCAAACCACTGGGATTACAGGCATGCACCATCACACCCAACCTGAACATGTACTTTTTTCTTGTCATTGTCACCTAAACAAAATAATATAACAACTATTTATATCTCATTTACATTTTATTAGGCATTAGAAGTAATTTAGAGATGATTTAAAGTATACAGGAGGATGTGCATAGATTATATGCAAATGTTACACCATTTTATATAAGGGACTTGAGCATCCTCAGATTGTGATAAAGGACAGGGGTTAGGGGTACAGGGAGCAGAAATCCTGGAACCAATCTCCAGCAGATACCAAGAAACAATGTATGGTAGCATTCAGGACATTTTGCTCCATCCCATTTGGTCCTGGCCAGCACATTCTGCCCCTGCAAAAGAATCATTCCTTTTAGTACCTTCCAAGGATAAAACAATTAGCAAATGCTAGTGCTCACTTCATTTCAGGCTGCTGACATGAATAATATCAACTGCAAAGACTTACATTATGAAAAAAAGAGACTTTCTAATTAGTAATTGCTTCCTCTACAGAACACACAATGTATAAAAAACTGCCTTGAGTAATTTTGAGCACACTACTTTCTTCAACCATCAAAACCATATGAAGTAGGAAAATTATTATCTCCAAATCATACATGAAAGAAGCCGAGGCTTAATGAGCTTAGATAAGTTGTAAAAGGTTACACAGGTAGCACATGATACAGGAGCTGGGAGTCAGTACTAGCCTGTTTCATGCTAGTGCCCAGGACTTTACCACTAAGCGATGGAGATCTGGAAGATCTGAGAAATTCTGTAAACCTAACTATTCCTTCTTGTTACAGCAAGGAAGAAGTGGGGTATAGTTACTAATTCACACATCTGGACATTAGAAATTGGCATTAGGGTAAAAGAAGGAAACACCTGATATCAGGGCTCAACAAAGAAAAGCAGAAATCACCTGTGTATTTAAAGCAGAGGAAACTTAATTCTGCCATATGATTACCCAGATGATGGTAGAGTTGAGGGGACACAGAGTTTGGCAGCATCAGGAAACTGCTATCATCCCTAGGCTGGTGGAAATTAAGCCCAAAACTAGTGGAAGTTGAAGCCATAAGAGAGATGCTATGGGTACTAGTAAAGTAGCCCTAGACAAATAGGGGAGGAGAAGCATCTTACCTCAAATGTCCCACCTTTTGCAGCTAACAGAGCCTCTGAATAGTCTGCTTGGGCCATCACTCAAGATTCAGGGCAGAGCAGACAATGGGTGAATAATGGCTGTACAGACACAGAGTTTTTTGATCTTACAAAAATGATTTTAAAGGGCTAAAGTTGTGGCTTAGCAGTAGAGCCCTGGCCTAGCATGTGCGAGGCTCAGTACCACGAACAAGCAAACAAACAACAAACAAACAAATAAATAAAGAGAAAGGCAGCAGAACACAACAGACACTAGTATGGCAATATGTAAATCAATGGATGTGTAACTGATGTGATTCTGCAATCTGTAAATGGGGTAAAAATGGGAGTTCATAACCCACTTAAATCAAAGTGTGAAAT